GTTTTATCCACGGGAAGGTCCACGGGAAGGATATCATCAGCAAAAAGAATACACCAAAGTACATCCTCCTGTAAATGTCTAGTAAGACCATCCATAACTAAAGCAAAAAGATATGGAGTTGATCCCTAATGTAATTCAACAAAAATAGGAAATATTTGGTCAATTCTCCTTCAGTTCGAACACAAGTAACAACTCTAGTATACATATCTTTAATGACTTGAATATAAGTCATATCAACACCTTTCTTCTCAAGAACGCTCCAGAGGACATCTCTTGGAACCTTATCGTAAGCTTTTTTCTAAATAAAAAAAAAATCAAATGTAGATTCTCTTTATTATCTCTGAACTTCTCCATCAAACCTCTCAATAAATGTATAGCTTCTATGGTAGACCTGCTCGGCATAAAACCAAATTGATTATGAGAAATCTTTGTAATACATCTTAACCTATGTTCAATTGCCTTCTCCCATAATTTTAAAGTATGACACATCAACTTACTTCCTCTATAATTTGCACACTCTCGTGCACTTTATTCTTAAAAATGAGAACCAAAATACTCTTCCTCCACTCCTCAGACATCTTTTTAATTTTTAAAATAATATTAAAGACTTTAGTAAGCTAAGAAACTCCCAAATCTCCAAAATAATTCCACACTTCAATTGAGATATCATCAGGTTCTATAGACTTTCCACCCTTTATTTTCTTTAAAGCCTCCTCAACTTCTTTTTTACTAATGCGATGGTAAGAATGAAACATTTTATTATTATTAACGAAAATAAGATCACTAAGGTCGATTGTATTTTCAGAAAGTTCATTAAAAAGTTTATCAAAATAACTCATCCACCTATATTGAATATCCACCTATTCATCCACCTATATTGAATATCTTTTTCTATGAAAAACACTTTCTGATTTTCATCTTTAATACACTTTAGGTTAAATCTTTACTTTTCTTTTCTCTTTGTTTGGCTAGTTTATGCATATATTTTTTACCCTCCTTATGATCTAATCTATCATAAAGATCACTAAAAATATAATTTTTTAGCTTTTAATTCATTTTTTTTCTAATTATTTGCATTTGATTGCCTGTTAACCATTAGAGAAATTTATCAATTTTTTGGGTTTTATTGATAAACTAATTGAAATTTTTAATAAAAACTCTTTTTTTTTATTTATACATTTATTTTAATTATATGTGTATATATATATCATCTTGCAAATTTTTTGTTTGTGCATCTAGTGTCATCGGCCTCAATTTGTGTTGTGTTGACCTCCCTAACAAGATAATTTTGTGTTTTTACGTTTATGAAGGAATTGACCATGTTTTTTTGACATTCCAGACCCTTTGGCGCTGTTTGTTCTGTAGGAGGATGTTATTTTGAGTGGTTTCAATGTTAATCGCTGCAATTATGGCTTGTTTCATGTGTATCATTGCGGTGATCCTCATTAGGCATTTTCGATTTTTATCGTGTTAGATAATATGGACATTATAGAGAGGTTAACAAATTCCTTCAGCAAGTATGGTGGACGTTTAGAATAGATCATATTTGTTGCTAGCTAACTGACCCTGTAGATCTCCGAGAGTTTGTTTGGATGTTACACCGAGCGTTTTACTTCAAAATACATTGATATTTTCTTATGGGACCTTGTAGTAAACTTGATGTGTTTAACATTTTTCTTGCTGTGAGCTTTTGCACATGCGTGATACTAATTAACAACGTATTGTGTGATGGTATTTTGCAGTAAAAGACCAAAAAATATGTTTTCCTTGCTATAAAATGACATTTGGTTGATGAATTTCCTCTTTTAAAAATATTTCATGTTTTAAGGGCATTCTGACAGTCAAAAACTTCAACTCATCTCATGTCTTGTTGCTTATGCTGATTATGATTGTTTTTCTCTTTCCCACAGAAATTTCAGGCCATGTTGTACTCTGCAGCTATTAAAGGCAAGGCTTCCTCATTTTGGTCTCATTTTCTTTCCTTATTTATCTGGCTGTTTGATAAAAAAACTATTAAAAAAACTATAATATGTTCTGTTTTTTTTTTTTTGATTTTATTAATCATACATATTTTATATAACAAAACTTATCCATTGCATGATGCATATTATTATCCAACACAATATATTTCTTCCTTGCAGAAATCTGAGTAGGAAAAGGATTACTCGGAAATATAGGAACATTAAAGTTTTATTATAGCTTTGTTGACATAGTTTTAAAGAACAAACTTTTCATAACTATTAAATGTCGAGAATGAACATTTCATTCTGAACCGATGGAAGTTTTGCATTAGCCAGGAGTTAAATTATTCTTATATGGTGCATAGATCAACCTAAAATTGGAGATAAGATTTTAAATATCATAATTCTAACATCCATTCTACTACCATCATGCTTAATGCATAATGTCATGGACACAGAGAAAACAAAATACATCTTTTCCTTTACAACATTTAAGGCGAATGTTTGCATGTTATAGATAGCCATATTCCTAGTCACTACAACCATCATCAAGCATATTTGCTAACAATTAGATAATCATTTGTCAGATGTCATAACTAGCTCAGGGTTTGGAATAATACTTTTACGTTGTGGTTGATACAGCCTATGTATCAACCGCAAACTATGTGATGCCTCAAATCAATCATTAGGTAGACAATTTTCCAAGAAAATTGTAACCTCATATATTTAGCCATTAAAAATATTTGGCTTTTGGTTGTGAGCTTTGTCTTTCAACCAAGAGGGCCTTGGTTCAAGGTGTTGCATATGTGGTGTACGATTAATTTCTCATATTTCTCAAAAAAGGGAAAAGGTTTGCTCTCTATATTGAATACACGATGTTCAAGTTGTGGAATTGAATAACTAAGCTTCTTTAAGAAGTTTAGTTATTAATCCTTTTAATTCATTAAAAATTCTGTTATTATATATCCAGTACTGTTGAATTACGATATCTATATTCTGTGTTTAAAAAAAATAATTAAATTTCTTTTGTTATTGACCTTAATACTTTTGTATTTTGATTAACATCAAAGTCTTTTTTTAATTACGAATCAACTTTATGTACTTGTTTATGCGAATTACATATTCAAATGTTTACTGTATGCCTTGAAAATATAAGATTTGCCTTGCATATGCACTTAGTTCTAAGTTAAAAAAGCCCTAAAATCTAAAACCCTAAGCCTTAAAAATCAAGAAATCATATTAAAAAGCTCTGGTAGTAAATAATTTTACAAATAGAAAGAGAAATTTCCTTCACTGTGTTGATCTGAAGTGAAAAAAAGAAAGAAAAGCAATCGCAATACACTTTGAAACTTCATGTATGGTGAATATCTATTTATTTGTAACAAAGATATACAATAATAATAAAAGAGTGAGATTGTAAAACAGCTTAATCTAGATAAGAAATAATGTGAGAGCAATGACTTACCAAGGGAGTTGAGGGATGTTTGTTTGCCACAAAGGTGTAGCTTAGGCTTCAAAAGTTTTGATACTGAAAGGAAATTAGGGGATCTCATTGGGTTGGTGAAATTATTGAGAAACTTGTGTATTATTATGGAAATTTAGGTGGAATTTTCTTAAAGGAAAAACTTTCTAATTTTTCATTCAACTAATATGGGAAAATAACAAATATATATACTACTCTAAGAGACCCTCATACAATTGGAGGGAAATTCAAATCATTATTATAAGAAGGAAAGAAATAAAAACAAAATGATGGACAGTCGAAAGAGAACAATTTCTCCCCCTCAAATATAGCAGTCTACCTAAATCGTGGGTGGGCCCATGTGGTCTAAGGTTACATGCATTTCAACATTCTCCCTCAAGTTGGGTTGTATATGTCATACATCTCAAACTTACTACTAAGATCATTAAAGTGATGTCGAGGAAGAGCTTTGGTAAGAATGCCAACAATTTGATACTGAGTTAGGATATAACTTAGCTGGACAACCCCTCCATTGACCTTCTCATAGATGAAGTGTCTGTCAATCTCTATATGTTTGGTTCGATCATGGTGTATCGAATTCTTTGAAATAGTGATGGCTGACTGATTATCATCGAACTTCATAATAAGGCTTTTGTTCTCTGCGTAATTCTACTAGTAATTTCTTTAGCCACATCCCTTCATAAATTCCTAAGACCAGGGCATGATACTCAAATTTTACACTATTTCTTACCACCACAATTTGCTTTTTTACTTTTTCTAGTAATCTGATTATCCCATACAAATAAGTAATAACCAGTGGTTGATCTTCTATAAGTCAGTTCTCTTACCCATCTAGTATTTGTGTAGATTTTAATATTACGATTCTTAGATTTCTTGAATATCAATTCACATTTTGGTGTCTTCTTTAGGTGCATCAGAATTCGAAAGACCACTTCTAAATCATCATCATTTGTATCGCTCATATGATGACTTACTACTCCTACAATAAAAGCAACGTCAGGCCTTATATGTGACAAATAAATAAGTTTTCCCACAAGTATTTGTTACCTCCCTTTATCAACTGAGGTGTCATATTCTCCTTTTGATGCTCATCGATTGAGAACCATAGGAATATCTACTTTTTTTCATCTCTACGTTTCTGTCTCCTTTAATAAAGTCAATAATATATTCTCTCTTGGTTATGATAGTGCCTTTTTTGGATCTAACGATTTTTATTCCTAGGAAGTATGTTAAACTTTTGTGATTTTTGAACTCAAACTCATAAGTCATTATTCTTTTGATTGTCTAAATTTTCCTTACATCATTGCCATATCTACATATATCATAAGGATGTCTATCATACATTTTTCATTTGATTTCATAAACAAAGTGTGATCAATCTGATACTGATAGTACCTATTGACAAAAATATTATTGGTGAATCTTTTAAATCATGATCTTGGGGATTATTTTAGCCCTAATGATTTTTTTTGTTTTTACACTAGTTGATTATTTATATTGTTCCTTAATCCTAGAGGTATATCAATGTACATGTCTTCTTTAAGACCAGTATTAAGTAATGCATTTATAATATCCAGTTGACACTGATAGTACCCACTAAGAAATGTATTTTTAATGTTTAGCTCGACACTGATAATATCCATTTGCAAGAATAGTCTTGGTGAACCTTTTAAGCTATGCTCCGAGAGATTGTTTCAACCCATATATTAATTTTTTTTGCAAACTAGCTGATTATTTGTGTTGTTCCTAATCCTGAAGGTATCTTCACGTGCACTTCTTCCTCAAGGTACCTATTAAGAAATGCATTTTTAATCTCTAGCTGTAAAGGCCAGTCCTGGTTGACAACCCATGATAGTAATACTTTTACTATGTTGAGTTTCACCACTGATGCAAATGTCTCTTGGTAGTCGATCTATAGGGTAGGGTGAACCCTTTTGCTACAAGTCCAATTTAGAATTTTTATATGTTCCCATCTATGTTGTTTTTAACACTAAATACCTGTTTGCACCATATAATTTTCTTCCCAGACAGTAAAGTTGTTATGATCTGAATACCATTCTTTTTAATTTCAAAATCTCTTTTTCCACAACATTTTTTCAAGTAGGAATAGATAAGGCTTCTTGGATTGAATTGAAGATATGCACATTATGTAAGTTTCAAACAAAAGATTTGTAAGAGGATAATTTTTCATAGGTCACAATTTCTTCTATGGGGTGTTTTGTACATTCTTGTGCTCCTTTTTCCTCTGTAGTTCTCTTGATGTGTTGACCCGACCTCTGTGTGAATAATTAGGGTGTGGAGTTGGTTCCATTGATTTGCATTTATGATTTTGCATATTATCCCTTACATTCTTATTAGATTTTTTCTTTCTAGTGTGCACATTAAGTTCTTGGCTCTTAATGGAGCTGTAGGAGAATTTTGTGGAGTAGAAGTTGATTTTCAGGTTAATTGTGATAGTGGGGACAGGGATTAGTTCATCAGGATATATGAAAAGTGAGTTTGCGGTTTCTGATTGTTACCTCAAATCTGATAATCTCTCAAACTCTACCCCTGAATGTTAGATTTGGTTTAATATGGTTGGTTTTCAAGGAAGGTGACATCCATGGAGTTAAATAATTTTTGTGTTTTTGGATTGTAACATTTATACTTCTTTCTGTTTGAAGAGTATCCCACAAAGATGTATTTGATTGACCTGAGGTCAAATTTGGTTTGATGTGGTTGATGTAGATGAATAAAAGTGATGCGACAAAAAAATTTTTGTTTGAAGAGTATTCCACAGATGCATTTGATTGACTTGAGATCAAGTTTGTTTTGATGTGGTTGATATAAATGAACAAAAGCGACGGAAATTTTTTTTTTAGTAGATTAGAGGCGAAAAATTGAATGTGGGGGTAGGATTTTATGGGGGTGTTAAGAGGTTAGTTAAAGTTTAGTACATTGCTGGGCATCCTATTTATGAGATAAGTGGGAGTGAGAATTGCATCTCATAGAAGTATTTGGGTGGTTTTTAGTGAATAAAATGGAACGGATCACTTCGAGGAGATGCATGTTCTTTCTCTCAAGCACGCCATTATGTTGGGGTGTGCCAACACAAGAGCTTAGATGTATGGGTGTAAACAAGCCAAACGCGAGCGAGCTCAGACTCAGCTCGTGTTCGGCTCATTTATATTTCGAGCTCAAAAAGTGTGTTCGTGTTCGACTCATTTGCGTAGCGAGCCGAACACCAGCTGTTCACGAACAAATAGTCGTTTTGACAACCCTAATCATGTAGCCATAAGATGTTAAATGTTGGGGGCAAGATTTAAAAATTATTGTTTATATTAAAACATCATTTGTTTTATTCTATTTTCTTAATCAATATTTTAATTGGTTATAAATCTTTGTAGCCTTGTAGTCAATTATATTTTCTTAAAATACTACTTAATATATAAACTTGACGAGTAGTATTTCGAGCCAAAATGAGCTAAACACGAACGAACAAATTTTTATTTGTGTTCAGCTCC